ACCTGAACCTGATATTCCCCAGATACAAAAAGTATTCTTGTGTTCAATGCACGCACACACCTTTCGCTTGAAACCGTTCCGGCCGTTCCCCGTGCAGGGAGACGGAACCATGTACTAAGTCCTCCACACTCACTCGTCCGTGTGGACTTCTTGAGCATACCACAAGACATGCACACAACCCTCCCTGCTTTTCTTTTCCCAGAACCAGATTTTCCAGAGCCCGATATACTCACGCCGGAGTATCCAAAAGACTAAACCGTAACCAGAAGTTCCTCAGTGAATCTCCAAAGGCATTGGGCTCAACTGACCGGTGTCTGCTGCAGCCGGCCCGCCCGAGGCCTCCCAACCAAAGGAGTGTTGGAGCGTGCTTGGGGCCTCGAAAGGACGTCCATGGTTTCCAGCCGGAGTTTGTCCGAAGGCTGAGTCCCCAAAAGAGGGGCTTTTTCTCTGGAGGGGCAACACAGCCCTCGGGCCCCACGTTGGGCACCAGAAAATGTTGATGTCCCTGCTAGCCAGGTGACTTACAGACCCACTAAACCAAGTGCCAATGAGGTTCAGTCAGGCGGAGATTCGTTCAGTTTTCTTTATTCAGCTGAGCAAAGCAACCTGGTGTCCGGTCCCTACACGCAGGCAGGCAGCAACACACACACACACATTCCTGCTTTTCCTCTCCTTTTCCACTTAATCTCGCCCCCATTGTTCCCTCACCCAATCCCCTCTCAGGGTCTGCCTGATCCTTCACCCAATCCCCTTGCGGGGTCTGCATGTCCACTGCATGCCTGGCCTCGCGCAGGTGCTTATCTACGTCCAATCCCCTCACAGGGGGAGCGTGATCACTGCGTGCCAGTCCTTGCGTGGGGGTCTTTCTATACTCACTGCCTCTTTATCAACATTCTTTTGCCTTCCCTTTTTCCCCTCCAAAGCAAGCAGTTATACAAAAAGCAAATGGCGTTTGTTAGGCTAACCAAGCTCCTATACAAGCGGCTGTTCACAAAAGCAAATAGCTTTTAGTTAAGCTAAAAGCAAATAACATTAGTTAAGCTAATCAGGCTCCTTCACAGGCTTGCCCTTTTGTAGGAGCTTTATAGCCATGCTCTTGAGCAGAAGCTATCATTCAAGCACATTTTCCCTGACAACATACTCATTTAGCTTAAAAACATTTTAGGTTTCCTGACTAGTTAAGCAGTGCTGTTCCTGCACTGGTACAGAGATCATTTTGATAAAGGCCAAGATAGACATTCTCTAAATAAGAGAAATATGTATTTCTGTTTTTTCTTCTTGATTTGTGTTGCCTTCTTACTCTGCTGCTTTCCAATAGAGCTAATTAGCGCCTACTGCTTTAACATGCCATGAGGGTAGGACTGTAAAAATGTATAGTAAGATTTTAGGTGTTGTGGGTAGTATATTTAGATGAAAGGCCGCAGGGATGGGCCACAACAGGGACTTCCCTTTTTGTTAGAAAATCAAGGCCTGGAATGAGTAACTTGGCAGGCAAGCATGTAATGCTGCACTTGATCGATCACTTAGCATAATTAACTCATCTGCTTATGGCACCTACTACTGAGCAGCATTCTGGGATGATGCAGCTGCCTCCTAACCACAGAGTCCTATTGCCCAGCTATAAATTCCTCAAGAGGGAGATGCTTGGCATTGTCCACTGATAATGAAGTGTCAATGACTACTTATTCATGTTAGTTTCTTGTTATATAGCTTATAAAGTGGCTTTAGGCCAAAAGGTGCAAGCTGGGGCTAAGATACAGGAACACAATTTCTTCAGTAAAAGAATATATTTCAGAGTAAGGTGTGGAAATAACGGCTCAAAGTGACCACCACAGTCCAAGTGTGTATAGACATATTGGAAAGTATACTTTGGCTTTTGCAGTACTAGAAGAATATGCATGGACTCAGCCTGGAACATTTGTCTGGTTGAATAGGCCAGGGGAGGAGGGAATTACCCATCAGACCAAATAGTATGTTACTAGATAAAAACCTGTGGCTTCATTTTTGACCTGTCTCTTTTCCACCAACACTGACCCCAGAGGGTGAGGTGCAGAGGCAGTGTTAAAATTATTTGCACTTTATTACAAAAAATAATAAATCCATCTGCTGTTAGAAGGCCTACAAGTTGAATTTTGTGTCAGAGTTACCTATCAGAAATATAGTGTTCTCCTTAGTACTTCTGCCAGCAGCCTAGTAAATCACCCATAGGAAGCCTTCCATCAAATAATGAGACTTGACACCATGTAGATCCCATGGGCCTACCTGCATCTTCTCTCACCAGTGGCTCAGGGGCTTGTCTCCCCTATGCATACTCATTCTCAACCATCCCTTCTTTCTGATAATTATTCTGCAAAGGCTAAGCAATGTATTGTTCTCTCTCTCTCTCTCTCTCTCTCTCTCTCTCTCTCTCTCTCTCTCTCTCTCATTTTGTAGTTGTTCCCTTGAGATATGCTTGTTTGGAGAAGAGGTATGATGTGTGTTCATTTGCCCCAAATACTTGTGGGTGCTGTATGGACTGTAAAAATGTAGGAATTTGGATTGTTGCTAGTTAGAATACTGGAAGTGTTTCTCTTGGAAATGTATCCTTTGTGAATAGAATTGCAATGACCTGCAGATTATATTGTGAGAATGTGCAGATTAATGTGCTGTAGGAGACTTGAGATGACATGTAAGCAGCACTTGAAAGATGAAGGGAATAGCACTTGCCATGTGCCCTGCCGGCTTGATATCACCCCTGAAAACAGGCTGACCAAACAAGTAATTGCGGCAGCAGCAGCTGCTAGCCGAATGAGTCATTGGTATTCATCACTAGCTTGCCTTGGAGCCAGACAAAATTCAATAGATGGCATTTTGCCAAGGCTATCCCACAGCAGTAGTTAGGGGTCTGAAATGGTCAAACTGGTTTCTTCTCCAGGACTTGTTGGCTGACTTCTGCTCTTACATATACTTGTACAGGCAGTTTTTCTTCCAAGTCAGCCTCACTAAGCAGCCTTTGTGAATCTCTTGGGAGAGATTCTGCATGACTGTGTGGCTTCAGGTGCAACTTTACATGCATATACTGTTAGGATAGCTTTGAGCTGTTGGAAAACAAGTCATAATTGCTAGCTGAAGTAGCCTGGCAGGGCCTTGACACTGTTTTTGCAAGCACGTGAAACAATTATGACTACAACAGCAGTAACAGTTGACACTGTTCATTTAAGACAACCAGGGTCTCAATAATTCTCACAACAGCTTTCTTTTGGGTTGGCCATCATTATTTCCATTATTTCAGATAGGGTTCTAAGTATAAGAAAATGTTTTGTTCAGTGGAGTCACAGCTGCTTTGTGTCATGCTCATTATCACTCTAGTAGATCAGCTTTCATGAGATTATTTAAAGTTACTAGGTTTAGAATATTAACAGTAAAAATGGGAGGAGTGTTTCTCAATGTGGGGAAGAAAGTGGTACTATCAGTTAGCAAGCTGTCCCAGGCCCTAGGAAGGTTCTGAAAGCCGGCCTTGTTCCTTCCACATGCCAAGGGAGTGCCTTTCCAGAGCCGCCTGAGGAAGCTGGGCAGCTTTGGGTAGTGGCTCCTCTTGCTCCAAGCTACTCTTTTTAAGTAGTTGGGCTTGTGTCCAGCCTACACACCTTCTTTCTGTGCCTTCCATTTGCTTTGTTCCAGGGTTGGTTAATCCTAATGGGCCATATATTCTCCCAAGTTTTAACTTTCACTGGATTGATCAGCTCTGCATGCATACTCTTTAAGATGGCATTCAAGCTGTTGACCCAGATTCTATCCCTTCCCCACTTCGTAAGCTTGATTTCAGCAGGGCATTCTTGGATTTTGTATGTGCTCAATTCAGTAAAGCGAAGAAGAGCTGTAGCAGTTGTTTCCTCTGAAGGTAGAAAATTCCGTACTTTGTGAACCATGGGGGACAAGTTTTGATTTTCTGTGAACTGCTTCTGCACATTAGGCACAACAGCTACTTAACATCCTGAATAAAGTGCGTACCTTAATATCACATCCAATCACAACCAAGCAGGTTTGGAAATAGATTCAAAGCAATGTTCCACCAGTGCATCCTACTTCTCTTGATGAATTTTTAACATACTTTCCCTTTAAGCCAGAGAAATTTGTCACAGTTCTTACATCTGGTTCTATGTATCTGATTCAGTTGACAGTAATGCATATATTGTTTCCGAATGTGATGTGCGGATGGGTGCTAGTTTGCAGGACTACTTCCTCATTGTCTGGGTTCCCATGTCATGAGCCATGTTGATGGTCTGTCATGTTGTTGGAACCTGCTTTCAGTGGTTCCATGTGAGGACTCCCATGGAAAGAGCAGCCACAGAAGTGGCTGCTGTAGGCATCTGATCTCTGCTATCTGCGGTGCATGCTCGCTCGCGCGCTCTCTCTCTCTCTCTCTCTCTCTCTCTCTCTCTCTCACACACACACACACACACACACACACACACACACACACACAAGTGTTATCACTTCCTTTGTCCCTATTGGCTGAGTGGTCTGCCCATCACCCTGTTTACTCTCTGAAACAGGGAAGAAACAGGTGAATGCATGGAGAGAGAAGGGATGGGGGGGGGGGGGAATCAAGGCAAAAGTGTTTCTTTTAATTAAAAAAACTGTTTGAGGGCCAGAGTGTCTAGGAAGCGTTATGCCAGTGCAGATACCCTTGGGAGGGAAAGACTGAGAACTCATTTCAAAATCCCTGCAGACCAATCAGGGAGAGGCAGCTGAGGTCCACAGGGAGCAATGCAGTGCAGAAGGGGATTCTGCTTGTGGGGGGTTGCTGGGGTGTGTGCCAAGAGCAGGAGGACAGAATACAGAAATACTGCCATGGGAACCGTGACACCATCTGACTGGTAAGTTGAGGCAAAAATCCATACTCTGGAAACAGTGCAGCTTGCTTGCTGGGATAAACTCACCCGTTGAATTAAAAGTCAATTGTTACTAGTGTTTGTCAAGCACTACTATATCAAATGTACCATTGCCACTTTTTACAGGTATTATTTCCGAAACTGGCATGGGACAAATAACAAAGAGCCAGCTGTCTATCGCAACATTCCTCACCAAAATGACTCGGAGGACAAGTCACAGAAAAGCGAGCAAGACGGTGCCTTGCTGGATAAGTCATCATTTGAGTATCTCTTTGAACAAGTATGTGGCTTTGTTGATAATGATCCATAAAGATTAAGCATGTGTGTCTGATGATACTCCCTCCTCTCTGGCATGCCCTTTTCTTTCTTAATACTAAGTTTCCCTGGGATTTACTAGATGAGTGAGGCCATCCCCAATAGCACTTGAATTATTTAAACTGTAAAGGGCAACCCCACATTGCAAAACCATTTCCTCACTTTCTTCTAACCACCCTGCACAATCCAGCTCATGGGATGTCTCAAGAGCAAGTAATTGCAAATGTCAGCCAGTCTGTCCCTAAATTTCTGCCAGATTGGGTTTATTTGCAGACAGTTCAGGAGGACTGAACTGGAAGGCAGAACAAGCCTAGGTAAGGCATGGCTATAAGAAGCAGAGATAGATAAAAGCTGTAAAGATCATTGGTGAGCTCCACAGGCAGTAAGCCGGCACACAGGAAATAACGTAACAGCGCATGGAGGACCCTTCGGATGCCAGGAGATGTTCACCAGTTGGTAGTAGGGTGCAGTTCAGACTTTCTTTAGAGGAAATGTAGTACAGATAGCCAGTCTCTTGTATCCTTAATCTGTCTTCAGGAAACTTTAAGCAGCCACACCACTTTTTACACAAATAATTTTTGACTTGGAAAGAAAACTGAGTGCCACTCTCCATCCTGGCATCCTCATAAGTGTTTTTTCAGACACTACATGTGATCAAAACCCATTCACAGAGTTAAAAGTTTATTGGAATGTAATTCAGTGTCACTCAGCATGAACATTCACATGAACTGACTACTCCTCCCTCTTGAACACCAGACAGTAGATCTGCTCCATACAAATTAGAAAAGAGTTAATGAGTAGAGTGCTTCGATTTGCTTCACTTGTACCAGAATGACTTTCCTTGGCATTGGTGGCATGGGAGGTGATGTAGAGATAAGAAGTTCATGCTTGTCTGGAAATGCTTTCAGTAGAAAAGTGGAGCGCTGGCAGTGCCAGGTAAGGGGAAAACAAAAGCAGGCAACAATTGGTTCCATGAACTAGATGGGGCAAGGTGGAAATGAATTCTAGAGGAATATTGTCTTTTGGCTTCACAGTTTCATAATTATGAATATCCTTTTACAAAAAGTATGTTTTACCTGTGTAGAATTACAGGTTGGATCCTTGGCATCCTTTTAGTTTCATCTCCAGTAATTGGACTAGGTTAATCCCTCTGCGAAGACTCCAGAGAGAGGGAACTGAAACCCATCAATTTGGAAATGTATCTCTCTGAGGGTTCTTTTTTTTGGTTCTTCTTTCCCAGGGGAAACATGACTTCATAAATGATGTAGCTTCTCTAAAAGACCTTCGCACTGAACAGGAAATTCACCAGTTTGAACATGAGAGCCTGGGCATGGCTGTCTTACACCTGTGCCACATTGCCCTCAAGATGGGCATCTCCCTTGAAAAAGTGGCAGAGAAAACCAGGTGATTACCATAGTGGCAGAAGTAAGAAATGTGTGCATGCTGTGCTTACTGTCCATGTAATCTCACGTTCGTTTTCAGAAGGTTGCCACTAGTATTTGCTGAAGTGCTGCTGAGAACTTCTGGTTAAGAGGATATGAGTTGCATGCATGTAAAGACTGTCCTACCCACTACAGTTCAGTAGAAATACTGGGTGGGGTGGGGATGCAGGGATACTTCCTGTTACACATTATGGAAGTGTAATCCTCCCAATTTATTCTGTATCTGCCTTTCTAAGAGGCACAAGAACTGCCAGCTACATACTGCACAGCAGTATAATTAGTATATACCTATAGTACTATGCAGCTGGCTTGATTTGGATTACAGACTGGATTAAAAATCCAGATGAAAGATTAATAAAATTGGAAACCAGCTTGGAAGAAGGACTACATAATTATTTGTGGGCTAAGGAGTCCATTAAAAATTTAAATAATGACAAAAATATGTAATCAGAGACAGTTTAATAAGAATTTGACATTCTATACAAAGAAGAATCAGTCCTCCATTTCTCCTTTGGTGTCTTCAATAGAAGCATATTGTGATTAGCATCTACAGAAAAGCAATGGTTTTATAACAGAAGGAGATATGATGGATCAACAAGGAGGAATTAAGCCTTGACAAAAACTAAAAGATGAAGGAAAAAAGATAAAATGGCTTCTCTATTTTCAATTGGTTTCAAGACTGAAAAGGGAAATTCAAACAGGAAGGGCACCATATGAGACCTGACAGAATTTGAAAAGTTGATTTTGCAGCAAAAAGATAAATTTTTAGGGTGGATTTATAAGCAATTACTGCAATATGGAACTGAAACTGAACAAGTTAAAATATGTATGATAAAATAGATGTAGAACTTTGAAGAAGAAATAGCCTTCTGCCAATAGGAAACCTTATGGACAAAAGATAGAAAATTTACAGTTAGTTAAGCACTAGGAGAAAATTGGTACAAGATGTTCTATCATTGGTACATTGCTCTAAAAGATACTCAGGAAATATAATGGAAGGTCCTGGAAATGCAAAGAAGTGGATGGGACTTTTTACCATATGTAAATGATCAGGGGGCTGGAGCAGCTGCCCTACAAGGAGAGGCTGCAGCCACTGGGAATCATCAGTTTAGAAAAGAGGCAGGTAAGGGGAGACATGATAGAGATACTTAATGTAATGCATGGTGTGGCGAACACAGAAAGGGAGACATTTTTCTCTCTCCCTCACAACAGTTGATCCTGGTGTCATCCCAAGAAGCTGATTGGTGGGAGGTTTAGGACAGATTAAAGGCAGTACTTTTTCACACAGCATATGGTTAAACCATAGAATTTGCTTCATGGGAAGAGGTGATGCTGTCAATCTGGATGGATTTAAATGGGGATTGGACAGATTCATGAGGGAGGAGGCTATCAGTGGGAATAGTTGCTGAGGAGCTTGGGCAGGAGGAGGTCTTGCACTTATCCTGCTTGAGGGATCTTATGGGCAGCTGCTTTGCTACTGTGTGTGCACAGTGCTGGACTACATGGACCTTTGATCTGATCCAGTATGGCTTTTCTTACATTCTTATGAGAAAATCAAGATTTTTGAAGCCCTTATGCTCATAGGTGGCTTGTGAGTGAACAAATGACCACTTAGGTCTTTGTCATCTTGCTGCAGGCTTCCATTCCCATCTGCTTCATTGGGAGCAGGGTATTAATGTACATGAGGGCTAGTTCAGCTAACTGGCTCTTTGTGTCCCTCACAGTTTCAAGGAGTGCATTCCGCGTTCCTTCCACCAGCAGATTCAGCAGAACAATTACCTGACCAGATTCCGTATAAGGACTGTTTTCAAGAAGTTCTTGAAGCACTTCCAACGACACACAGTGAGCACCGGCAAGCTGACAGAGCAGGATGTGATGAAAAAGTACCTGGCAACTTTGGAGAACCTGGCCCCACGTTTTGGGAGTGAACTGTTTGCAGTTCTCTCATTGGAGACACTGTCAGAGGGTGAGAAGGTGCCACTGTACATTAATGGAGGGCATACACATCTGGAGAACTCCCATGCCTCTCCTCCCAGCGACAAGCCTGCCACCCATGAGGTTCTGGTCACAGGCACAGAAGGCATTCAGTGGCGGCCCATCTCTGCTGAGGTAGGACCATTTGTGGGTTCATCGTTGCATCCTCCACTGGGGCTCTCAGCTTTTTCTGGGGCAGTGGGCATAGCAGCTGCTCTTAATTGGCAGTCACCTTGGTCTGTCCAGGGTTGGGAAACCTTCTTGTGTATTAGGTTTGTTCACTAAGTTTTTGCCTTGGACAGTTCAGAGAAAGTTCAAATTTGTTAATTAAAAGGCCAGGTTACTAATGGTTAAGTCAGGAAGCTGGATGAAGCCAAAATTGAATGGAATGATTAGGGGGTTCTTTGAATAAGAACAGAGCAATTAAAAAAATATCTGGGTTACCCATTCAGAGTGAAGGTTTGACCAAACAGAAGCTTACATGACTGTGCACTCAGTGCCCCAGTCACAATGAAGCATGAACCTGTAAAACTAAGATGTGCAAGAATTTTATACATTTTCAGTTTGTCTTGACTAATCTGACTTTTGGGGAAATGGCAGCCAGGATGAGGTCCTACCGGCTGTAAAGGTTAAGGCTATGGATCCAGCCAGAATTTCTGCTTGTTACAGAGCCTCCCCATTCCTTGACTTTGGGTTTGGCATGGAAGGGGTGTTTAGTCCTGGACACTGGACTGACTGGATAACAGTGTGAAGCTGAAATCTTCAAGTTTCAGACTGATTGTGTAGCTTAGTGGTTAGGTTGTTGAACTAGGACTCAGGAGATCCAGCTTCTGGGCCTCACTTGGTAATGAAAGTAATCCAGCCAGTCACAGACTCTCAGTCTAACCTACTTCACAGGATTATTGTGAGGATAAAATGGAGAGAGGAAGAAACTTGTCCAACGGCCTTGGGTTCCTTGCAAGAGGAAGAAAGGCACAGTTTAAATGTAATTCTATGTAGTAGTAGTAGTGGTGATGATGATGATGATGATGATATAATTCAGTCTAGTAAAAGCAATTCCAGTTTCTCAGTGCAGTAAGTGCTGTCTTGTTAGCAATAAAAGCTTCCACTGAGGGACAGTCACACAGTTGCAACCTTTCATCCAGTTGATACCAAAGAGATGCCAGGATGTTTTTAGAGGTTGTAACTGAACATGAGGATAGAGGCAGGTTTCTAGGTGGTCTGTGCTTTGGTCATAGCCAGCACATGAACTAAGGTTGGAAACTGAGTGTTGGTGCAGATGCGAAGGCATTGGTGTGATTATACTCCCAATGACTCACCCCCATCAGAAGTCAGGCCACAGTAGTTTGTAACCACGGCAGCTTTCAACTTGCTGTCATGGAATGCTCAGTTCATCATGTACAGATCATTACAACATTTCAGACTTAGAGTAATTACTAGATGTAGGAACCTATTGCCTGCTATTACATCTGGTTAGGTGCAACTTCTGCAACAGCCCATGTACTGCAGCAGGTAATGTCAGACTAAAGCTGGACTCAGTTCTTCACTTAGGGAGGAAGCTCAGTGAGTGACTGGCCTAAGGCCACATTATTTCATCCTAACCTACCTCTCAGGGTTTTTGTGAGGATAGAATGGAGTTTAGGGAATCACGTACACTGATTTGGGCTCCTTGGAAAAAGGATGGTCTATTTTAAAAGACGTAATCAATACTATATAGGTATGTGAAGTGGCATTATTGGGCATGCTGGTTGTTTTATTGCTTTTGTAAATTCATCAAAATTCATGGGATGTTTTGCTTAGAGAAAAAATTGGAAAGTATGTGATATTGTAGAGGATACTGTAAGCAAGGGAGAAGGGAGGTTACATATAGAAGTGGAATAGAACGAAGATCTGTGGACCTAAATTATGGGAAGTTGGATTTAAACTGTGTATTACAGGAAATTTCTTCATGACAGAAATTTCCATTCAGCTTTAATATTTTCATCATGTCAATCAACATCATTTTTCTTTTTCCTTTTGTTTGCTTAATATGCAACTTGAAGAATTGTGGTGAATACAAAGGGTTGCTCACATATTTCTTTTACTTTTGATCTTTGGAACTTTTTTTCTTTGGAGACCACTATGGCAACCTGCATTTCTGCCTCTTTATCAACAGAATATTCAACAATGGCCAACTGGTTCAGAGGCTTAAAAGCAGCAACTCCCAGAAAATGCTAGTCAGGCAGATTTTGAGGTGACCTGTGTGACCCTAAGATGTTACATTATACCTCAGAAGGCTGCATCTCTGATCTTAAAGCTGGAATGTGAGGATAGGCATGGTTCCTCATGTGTTGAATAGTTGGAAGCCTGGTTGGAGTTTATTCTTACAACAGTTGTAGTGTAATACTGGCATCCATGCTAATATGAACATACAGAGCTCAGTGTCTGTCTTTGTCTTGCAGAGATTACAAAGCCATCCCCATAGAGGGTATTTGGGGAAGAAGGCCAAGATTAAAGACCATAAGGCCAAATGGCCCTACCAACCAGTGGAACAACATGAACAGAAATGGGTGCACTTTTGTGACTTCCAGGAGATCACACACATTGTTGTCAAAGACTGCGAAGTCCGCATTCACCATCAAGACAATAAGTGCCTGGTAGGTGGGAGTTTGCCTCTCAGCTACCTTTCTTGGAGTCTTTTTATTAAAATACGATTGTTTGGAGTAGTCATGTCTATATATATGGTAAGGGCTGGAGCTTTTAAAGGGTAACATGTGATACTATTTTTGCTGTCAGCGTGCAGCTTCGGCAGCTCAACACCATGTCTATGTTTGTTGCCACCAGATCTGAGGAGTTTAAAAGTTATATTTATTTTATTACTCAGTTACTTCCAGCAGGACTCCCCAGAAAACAACACCAGACTAGTTATTTGCCTTTAACCTGAGACCAGAACTAGCGTTTTGTAAGGAGAGCTCAAAGTTCACTTCGCTTGTACAAGCACCCTCTGATGAAGACCTGGCTAGAAAAATATTAAAACTGATAGTGAATAAAGTGAAATCATAGCTGTAAAAGTAGAGTTGCTCTTTTGCTCAACAGATTCCTGTAAAGTTCCATTAATTTCCAGTAGTATTACATGCAGGTGGTAGCCAAGATGATCCCTTAATGAGAAACTCAAACATAGCATTAAAGTGAAAGAATTTGATCCCTGGACTCCTTGTTAAAGTCCAAAAGTCTTGTCCTGTCCACTCCACTCCACTTCCTTGGTTGTCTTAGGATCACAATTCTGTAGGGATAGTATGGTGCAAGCTAGCAGGCTGAGGTTTGTGAGGCTGTTTGTAAGAAGGGAAGGAGAGTGTTCTGCCACCTTTTCACTAAGGAGGGTTTGATTATCCGCTTAACTTCCTAACCAGATGTACCTCATTTATAGTGTCATCTGTGTTTGTCTTCTCTATGCCGACCCTTTTAAGTGTGTTGCAACTCATAATATAGTGGCTTTGTTTGAAACAGTGTAGTGTTACTGGAAAAGCAGAATGGGGTCTGAAAGCGAGTGCAAGCAAAGATGGAAATGCAGGTGGGGCACATTCCCAAAATATAGCTTTTTTTTAGCATACCTTCACAGAGCCCTTCAACCTGGTACTGTGGCTCAGGAATGATAGCTATGCTTTCACTTTTTTCTACTCAGGATCTGACTCTTTCATCCCATGAGGCTGCACTCTCCTTGGTTTCACTTGTGGATGGGTACTTCAGATTGACAGCTGATTCTAACCATTATCTGTGCCATGAAGTGGCTCCACCACAGCTGGTTCTGAGCATCCAGAATGGTATCCATGGCCCTATGCAGTAAGTCTTCGCCATGCCCTGGTCTTACATCAGGTGTGGGATCAAGTGTCTTCATAGGTTGTGCCTGAAATGTTTTCTCTTTGTAGGGAGGAATTCATTTTGGCTAAACTGAAGTGGGAGGAACAGGAGGAGGGGCTGTATGTCCTCCGTTGGAGCGCCCTTGACTTCAATAGATTGATCTTGTCTGTAATGAGGAGAGGCCAGGTGAGGTATGGGGGAAGTGGCAAAGGGCTGCTTCAATTTTATAGATTCTCCCAAAATGGTAGTTTGGTCCTGGTGCTCTGTGATGGAGTCTTTTCTACATGTAAACATGCATCCCTTGAGTCTAAGAATGTGGTGAGGGTGAGCCTTTATGTTAAATCTGTGCAAGCTTGCTGGCTTCACACAGAGAAATAAAGAGAATGGAAAACCACCTGGGAATCAGGGCTGACATTCTTGTAACTGGTATAATATCTTTAAGTCAGTTTGCCTTAACACCATCTTTCTGAAGAGTAATTAAACTTTGGATTGGTTCAAATCAGTATGGTATAATTTTTGAATTGGCAAACCATAGTTTTGTTATTTTATTTTATTTATCACATTTCTACCCTGATCTTCTACCAAAAAGGGTTCCAGAGTGTCTTATAGATCAGTAGCTACCCCATAAGCCAAAAGACACAACATAAAAGGAGAAAAGGTTACAGTGCGGACACTCAAGCAAATTCCTAAAGTTACAGAATTCCTCTTATTTATTTATTTATTTATTTATTTATTTATTTATTTATTTATTTATTTATAATGAATGAATGAATGAATGAATGAATGAATGAATGAATGAATGACGCTTCTCTGCCGCCCCATTTGCCGAAGCCTCGGGGCGGCTCACAACAATAAATAACAACAGAATAACAATATAAAAACAATATAATTGGAGACGTCCTGGCAAAGATGTAAAATCAATAAATAATATTAACAATTAAAATGATGTTTAAATAAAAAGGTCTTCACCTGGTGCCGAAAAACAAATAACGACGGCGCCAGGCAGACCTCTCTGGGGAGTGCATTCTATAGATTGGGTGCCACCGCAAAGAAAGCCCTCCTCCGGGTACTTACCCTCCTAATATCCTTCACGGAGGGTTCCCGGAGAAGGGCCTCTCCCGCTGATCTCAAGGGGCGGGCGGGCACATATGGACGTAAGCGCTCCTTTAGGTAACCAGGACCCAAGCCGTTAAGGGCTTTATAGGTAATAACCAACACCTTGAATTGGGCCCAGACTTCAATGGGGAGCAGTGAAGCTGATGGAGGACTGGAGTCATGTGAACATAATGCCCAGTCCCTGTCAGCAGCCTGGCAGCTCTATTTTGAACCCATTGAAGTATCCGGACCGTCTTCAAGGGCAGCTCCACGTAGAGCACGTTACAGAAGTCTAGTTGGGAAGTCACCAATGCATGTGTCACTGTCGCTAGGCAGTCGTTCTCCAGGTAGGGACGCAGCTGATGGATCAGCCGAAGCTGAAAGAAAGCGCTCCTCGCCACCGCTGTCACCTGAGCTTCCAGTGAAAGCTCTGGGTCGAGGAGCACTCCCAAGCTGCGGACCTTGTCCCTAAGAGGGAGTGCAACCCCATTCAGGACTAGGTCAAGGTCCCCTTCCCCGAAGTCCAATCCGCCTACCAACAGGACCTCTGTCTTGCCTGGATTGAGCTTCAGTTTATTGGCCCTCATCCAGCCCATTACCTCGGCGAGGCACCGGTTCAGTACAACCACTGAGTCACCTGGATTGGTAGAAAACGAGAGGTAGAGCTGGGTATCATCAGCGTACTGATGATTCCGCAGCCCACACCTCCTGATGACCTCCCCCAGCGATTTCATGTAGATGTTAAATAGCATGGGGGACAAAATGGAACCCTGCGGAACTCTATGGCATAATTGCCATGGCGCAGAGCCATAGTTCCCCAGCATCACCTTCTGGAATTGGCCATTGAGATACGAGCAGAACCACTGCAAAGCAGTGCCTCCGACCCCCAATCCCACTAGCCTATCCAGAAGGATACCATGGTCGATGGTATCGAAAGCCGCTGAGAGGTCCAGGAGAACCAACAGGGACGCACTCCCCCTGTCTTTCTCCCTGCACAGGTCATCGTACAGGGTGACCAAGGCAGATTCAGTACCATACCCGGGTTTGAAGCCGGACTGAAATGGGTCCAGATAGTCAGTTTCATCCAAGAGTACTTGGAGTTGTCCCGCCACCACCCGCTCCTACACCTTGCCCAAAAATGGCATGTTGGCCACTGGTCTATAATTAGTGGCCATCTCTGGATCTAGTGACACCTTCTTCAGGACAGGTCGGACTACTGCCTCCTTTAAAGGGGCAGGTACCCGGCCATCCCTCAGAGAGGTGTTAACCACTTCCAAGATCCAGGTCCCTATCCCGTGCTTGGCATTGTTAATTAGCCAAGATGGGCAAGGGTCCAATAGGCAAGTGGTGGGACGTACTCGTCCAAGCACCTTGTCCACATCTTCATGCTGCAGTAACCAGAACCAGCTGGAATGGGGCAACAATTCTGGAAGAAGAGGAGCCAAAAGGAGCTGGTGTCTCTGTTGATCCTGCTTCCTTTCTCTTATTCTGCTACCCCTTATGGAAACTAGCTGCTATTTGGTGCCAGCTTGGGGACAGTAAGAGCCAAAGGAAACTTGTCTATCAGCACAGCCAGTGGGAAGCTCTGCTTTTCTTCTCTCTTTTCTGCTCTGCACCCTGATATAATGTAATGAAGGCATTACTCTTCCTGTGGAGGCTGCTGTGCCATAGGGATCGGACAAAGCTGAATGCTAAGCAGAAGGAAAATGAAAGCAGACATGTAGCTCTAAATCATGGCTTTCCTGTTGTACGCTTGGAAGTAGAAACTGTGGCTTGGTAAAATGTCTGAATTGAGTCACATTTTATTGTTGTTTTAACAAGTCAACAAATTTACTAGCATCATAGCCCACAATATATCGACATTAGTCACTTATGCTGTAAAAGGCTGAGGTGGTAGAGGAGCATGCTGTAATTTCCCATGACTCATCACACTCATGCTGCATGCAAGAAGAGGAGATATTATTTACAAAACAGTTAGTCCAAATGCCCTTCTAAGTAAATTCCAGATCATTCATTCTATTGATGAATGAATCAATAGAACTAACAGTCATATAATTCCAACAGTTTAGCCAACAGTATTAATTCTTACATAATAAAAGCACTGCCTATACTTTATTATGGTTGATAAAAGACAAAACTGAAAACCACCAAAATTCATTACTATTAATAGTAGCTTTTTTTTTTTTTACTTCCTTGCTTTTCTATTGATGTCATGCTGTACTTCTGTGTTAGTGGAAAGTGCCATATTTCTAACAAAAGTAGTGATCTCTACTTAAAAATAATTTAAGTCAGTTGGCGAAACACCTGTTTTTGCTTCTTCTGCTACTAGTTGTTACCAGGGCAGAAAACATGACCAAGGTAGAGCTCTGTGTACCCTTTCCAGGATGTCCCTGCCCAGTGGGCAGCTTCTTTAAAAATTAATATGTAAAACATGCACTTCCTTGGTCTTGAATGGACAATGTTGGAAACAGGATGTAGAACTAGATGGGGCCTTGAACCAATCCAGCAGGGTGCATGTTTGTCATGAATATACAAGGAGGAAGTGCTATGTATTCTGGCTTCTGTTGATTTTTGAAAAATTGGACAAATAAAGTTTTGTTTGAAATTGCTGTGGGAGCCTTAGTTTATAGATAAGCTTGTCCCATGCTGTGCATTTTTCAAACAAAGCTGCAGGCTAACTGTGCAGGTTTGAATCCAGCTCTTAGTCTTTCTCCTCTTTCTTGTTTGCACCAAAACTTGCAGTTCCTAGATTCCTCAAGCTACAGACACTTCCGGATCCAAAAGAAGGACAAAACCTTTGTGCTTGAAGGCTGGGAGCAGGAGTTCCCTAGTATCCAAGAGCTGATGAATGCTCTCAAAGGCTGCACACTAAGATCTGGAAATGAGATCTTCATTTTAAAGAGGTGTTGTCTCCCCAAGCCAGGAGGTACAAACCAGGTCACATCTAAAGAATCTTCCTTTTCCTATGATATAGATTGACTGTGAAATTTTCCCTGGGGAAAGAAAAGTATAAGAAAGGAAGAGGTTGGGTCGTCATACAGCCTTTTCCTACCATAAGACCTGTAATTGTTTAGCATTTGGTTGCATATTCCAGAACACAGTGTAGCTGAATGTTGGTCAGTACATAGTAAATGCAGAACAAAGACTTGTAAATCTGAATGGCATTTGTGCGTCTCAGTTACAATTTCATACATGTCTAGCTCTCTAATAATTAGGAGGGGAGGAGAGGAGAGGAGAGGCAAACTCAGTAACTCCTCTCCTTTCCATTGCATCACTGTTACCTGTCCCTACCTTCATTGTGTCACAGGTGAACATCTGCAGTGAGCAGCTTGCTGTTAGGTAGCACATTCCACATACAATTAGAACCCACAGAGTCTGCCTACATGCATACAGCATGATCTCCACTGCAGACCACTGCTCTCCAATGAGCTGAGGGTGGCAGCTTTGGGAAACAGGGATGCAATAAATGTATGGGGCCTGCAAGTACATTACCATCCTCCTCTTGAGGATGAAGGGTAGGTAGGAGGTAGATTGTCAGATGTTTCGGACTTCAGTTTTCAGATTGTCCTGCCAGCATGACCAATTGACAGGAATTGTAGGAGTGGAAATACAGAACATCTGGAAAATCTACCTTCTGATCAGTCAGGGACAAAACACTTGAACTGGGCTGATTATCTGATTAGTCTTAACAGAAGGGATACATGGCTTCAGTAATGTGGTGGTATCTGTTTATGTTTTTCTTCATGGTCTCTGTGCATCACACATATGGGCTGTGCATCTGTGTGGAACCTGTTGTTGGGAAGTTTCTACAGCTAGGCATTAGTTTGGGCAGGAACTCTTCCTCTTCCTGTTCCCTGCATCCATGGGAGGGGCTCCTGCCCATTCCCTCAGTTCCTTTTTGTCTGCCTCCATGCCTGGATTGGAAAGCACTTCTCTCCTCAATTTAAGTGTTTTTTCAGCTTTTAGTAATGTGGTGGTATCTGTTTAAGTGACTATATTTGAACAAATCTATGGAAGTGATGGAAACAGCAGCAGCTGACTACCATTTTACTGTAGGTTAAGTATAAACCGGGATCTCTGATACCTTTAACTGTGCACACTGGTCTGAAATAGATGCAATGACAAATCATAATTGGTCGTGAAAACAGCAAGCGAATGCAAACCCCTTTTTTCTGTACATGAGAAGAAATATAAAAGTTTAAAGTTCTTTTTAAAAGTGTAGTTTCTCATTTTATCTAGACACAATGAACTATGATTTGCATGAACTATAGTTAAGAATGCAGGATATCAAACCATGATCAAAGTACAGTTTGATACTTGGATTCTTAAATATGGTTTGCACAAATGATTTTCTTCTTCTAAGATGAAACCATGGTCTGCTATATCTGAATTGGGCCAGTAGGTGAGTGTAGTGAGAAATGAGCCTTAGCTTTGCAAACACTTATCTCTTATTTCACTAGAAAGATGTGATTGAGCTGCTCAGGATCTCTGATTTAAACACAGTGCTTTCCCAAGATACTGTGGCACACTGGGAGAGCCATTAAACATCTTACCTTTTTTGACAGTTTTTACTGTTTTATTATTTCCCCCACCTCACTTAGGAAATTCCAATGTCAGTCATTTTTAATGTGTATTTCTGCTGAGGTTTATGAAACTGCCAATGAGACATTGGCTTATACATGGCACAGTATGAGAGAGAGGATAAGGTTGCCAATATCAGAAGCAGCACCCTAAACAGTCTCTATTTTGTAACAGAATAGTGATAGGAACTGTCTTCTGGGAGGACTGCTGGCTGAACTCATTATAGGATGTCTTAAAACATCCATTTAATAAGCTTCTAAATACCATGAATCCTCCTAGGCAGCAGAACTCAGCTAGTACTGCTTGAACATAACTAAATATAATTTTCTGAATAAAGTTGCTCCATGTTTCCTTATAGGTAGTCTGCTTTTGTGCTACATTATTTTAGTGTGTGACTTCCTAGATCTGATCTTTTGGGCTAATCTTGTGCACTACAGAAATCTCAAACTTGCTGATCACACGAAAAGTGAAGGCCAGCGCTCGGCCAATTCTGAATTTGACCCAGCTGAGCTTCCATCAAATCCGAAAGAATGAGATCTCTCAGGTTAGCACAGTTGATCTGTTAACATAGTTGACCTGTTGGGGGATGAAGTATTAAGATTATAAGGTTGTATCACCCTCTAAAGGGTCAAGCATTCTCTTTCTATGCAAGAAATTTCTAAGCCATAGTTTTATGACCATGCAATGTGCTTATTTCCAATGTGATGCTAAACTCTGTCTGGGAGCTACTTGAGGACAGGTGACTTGATCTAGCCAAACGTCTAGTCTGGAAACATTCAGTTTGACTTCTGTGTCTTCTAGAGGGTTGAAAACAGAGTAGACTGAATTAAAGCAAGATGAATGCCTGACAAGAAAGAAGCAGGCTTCTTTTCCCAGTTTTGAACTGAAGCAGGATTTAGGTGGATTAACTTAGAAGAAAGCCATGAATTGACTCTGGATGGAATGAAAGATGCATGTGAGATGAAGGGAGTTTATTTGGAAGAAATTCAAATTTTAGCTAACACAGTGATGTCTTGACTTCCATTTAGAGAGCCCACCTGGGACAAGGGACACGTACAAACATTTATGACGGTGTGCTACATGTGTGCAGTGGGGCCAACGGGGATGATGAGACAGAATATTTTTCCACTGAGCAGAACAACAATAGCCGTGAGATGCATGTAGTGCTCAAGATGCTGGACCCTAGCCACAGGGACATTGCACTGGTGAGTAGGCCTCTTGGGAGCAGCAGGGGGGAACTAGTAAGCATTCTGAGAGAGGAGCATTCTGTCTGCTGGCTCTGTAAGTGGGTGGGTGGACTTACTTGCTCCAGAGACTCAACCTGCGTATTCAGGGGGAGTATATCCCTATCCAAAACAAGCTGAATGTGCTGGTCAGATTCCCTGATCTGACTTCTGAATACGCATAGTACCTCTGTTTGATCTGGATTAAGCCTGAATTTGTCTGCCCTCACCCAGTCTATTGCCAGCATTGGACACTGATTTAGAACCAGAACAGCTTCTTTGAATTTAGATGGGAAAAAGAGACAGAGTTGGGTGTCATTAGCATGCTGGTGGCACCAAACCCTTAACATTTTTCTGTGAGTAGGTTAGGGCAGCAGCCTCTTTTGGCTGAGGTCTTCCTTTTCCAGGCTGCTACTTGGATCAAGCAACAGGTGGAAAGGGGGTGTGATTCAGAAGACCATTCCTCAGGGCTGCTTCACAAACAACAGTTTCTCCTCAGAAATAATTGCCTCTGAAGAGAAAACCTGTGCAAAAGCAACTTCCCAGGTAGATGTCTTGTAAAATAGACACTTGCGCATTCTTCATGTGCATTTATGTTTCCCATTTTTAGTCTCTGGCTATTAAACATGTTCTCAGCAAATGCAGTATGTGGTGCATGGGCAACAGGTTTTATTTTCTCTTAGTTATATCCCCCCCTAGCTTTTCTATCTTATCTTGCTTTAAAAAGAGTGTTAATGGCAGCTACTCTTTCTGCAGACATTGAAGATGATATATAACATTAAAATACTACCAAAAAGTTATTGAAAAATATATCTGAAGCAGAATGAAATAGATAGCAAGTGAGGCCTACAAAAAGAAAAACTACTTATAAAGCTTATTTATCATGATTACTAAAATGTACTTCTGTGGGAATGGTATGAAGTTAGGGTGGATAAGGAATTCACTTGTGGTGCACAGCAGTGGATTTCTTTTACCCCCCCCCCCTTATTTTGTTCTGCCCCAGCTGTGTTCCTTGGATAGTGGCTCTCATTTGATGGTCTCCCCTCTTCTCCCTGTAGGCATTCTTTGAAACAGCCAGCCTGATGAGCCAGGTCTCCCACATCCATTTGGCTTTTGTTCACGGGGTTTGTGTATGGGGCTCAGAAAGTGAGTGTCAATCCATGCTTTGTCTGTTCTTTGAAATGCAATTGTTGCCTTTTAATAGTTCCTCAAGTTTCAACATTTTTCCTTGCCTGATGCCATTTCTGACACAAATTACCCATGTTTAATCATTTCTTGACATCTGCTGCAAGTTACAGTGTTGGGTGCCAACTTGAATGGCTTCAAAGGGAGATTAGACAAACCTGTAAAGGATAAGGCTATTGGCCATTCATGGGTGCTAATTATGATGCTATAATCTCCAATATGGGGATGCCGTGGCGCAGTGGGTTAAACTGCTAAGCCGCTGGGCTGGTTGATTGAAAGGTCGACAGTTGGAATCCACAGACAGGATGAGCTCCTGTACTCTGTCCCAGCTCCTGCCAACCTTGCAGTTTGAAAGCATACAAATGCAAATAGAAAAAAGGCACCACTTCGGTGGGCAGGTAACAGCGTTCTGTGCACCTTGGTGTTTAGTCATGCTGGCCACATGACCATGGAAACTGTCTGCGGACAAACGCTGGCCCCCTTGGCTAGGAGACGGAGATGAGCACTGTCCCCAAGAATCAGACATGACTGGACTGTAATGTCATGGGGAAACCTTCACCTTCAATCTCCAATATAAATATGCCCCTGCATCCCAGTTGATAAAGAACATGAGCAGGAGGATGCTGTTGTGCTTATGCCCTGCTTGTGGGCTTCCGGGAGGCAACTGGTTTACCATTATGTAGACAGAATGCTGGCCAGCCTTTGGTCTGATTCTGCAAGGCTCTTCTAATGCTCTCATGATAGATTTCTCTGGTGGTCACATGTACCTTCCATCCCCGGCCGGTGATCTATCTCCCTTTTGTGATCATCTTAAAACTTTTAACAGCAGTCAAAACAGCTCTTTCCCATTTCTGCTCATGAGTTGCACTCAGTCAGTTCCCTTGCTGCTGTGAAGCAATGATACTAAGCCTCTTTTTACTTCAGAGTCTCTCCTTTTTCTGCTCTCAGATATAATGGTGGAAGAGTACATTGAACATGGTCCCCTGGATGTCTTCTTGCGGAAAAACAAAGGGCGGATAACAGTGGGCTGGAAATTCACTGTTGCTGCACAGTTAGCTAGCGCCCTGACTTATTTGGTAAGTTTCCTGGGGTGGATTTGAATTGGGCCTCCTGGGAGTGTAAAAACCAGATCACTTCTGGGTAGAACCAGATCACTACTAAACATTAATATCTGTCATATATAACTTTAATTTCCAAGGCTTTCTCCACAAAATCTTTGGAATTGCAGTTTGTGTGGGTATTGATTATAGATTCTTCTTAGCCTCACAAAACTGCATTGCTCTGAGAAGAATGACCATTAAAACAATGTAAAAGTGTCCCCTGTTATTTTGATGTTGGGAACCTCCTTGAAAGATGCAGGAGTGAGAGAATCATATGTTAAGAAGCACCACTGATTCCTATAACCAGATAGGGTCAGAAGGCTAGACATGGTTATCCATTGTTAAACCATTTAAGACTTGGACTTGCAGTTTCTAGGGTCATGATGATCCAGCCTTAAGGCACGTAAGTGAACTTGCATGCTTCCAAGCCTGTGCTATTCCGGTTCGAAATGCCCAAATCATCAGCAGCACTTGTAAGCTCAGGTTGCTTTCTCCATTGCACAGAAGAGAAGCTGAGGCACAGATAATTAACTGCTTTGCTTACAGGGAATTTATGGCATTGCAAAGTATCGTAGGCTTAACTCCTGAACCAGAAAGCTTTCTGATTGTTGCTTAAGTGGCCCCATGAGGAAGCTGAGCCACTGTGGAACAATGACTGGGTTGCTTACACAGAATTGGAGATGGAAGTTCACTCTATTTCCTGCTAATGAATGAACATTTTTCTTATGAAGTGCATCTGACGTAGGTGGAGATGGGGCTTTTTGCAGACTGTTTTATGTGTTTGTTTAAATAGGAAGGCAAAAACCTGGTGCATGGCAACGTATGTGCCAAGAACATCTTGTTGGCTAGGAAAGGCTTGGATGATGGCTTGATGCCCTTCATCAAGCTCAGTGACCCTGGAGTCAGCTTCACAGTACTCTCCCGAGAAGGTAGGCCCTGCTGATTCTCTCTTCACTTTTGCCTTCATGGGGTTGGGCAAGGAAGATGCTATTGCATTGTGGCTGCAAGACTTGTGTATGGAAATGTAGTTGTTTGTAAGGAAAGATGCCTGAACTGTTGTATGTCTATAGGAATGATTAACATAAATGTTTGTCCAAATGTGATTTTACATCAGAAATTTTGTGGGAAGCAGGGAAGAACTTCCTGAAGAACCATTTGTTAATAGTTGATCTTGTATAAATTGTGACCCTGATTTGTTCATGCAAGACTGAATGTTATTTCAGAAGAGGACCCAGCATAAATGTTTCCTGCCCCAAACAAGAATGAGCATCAAAACAACTCTGTATTGGTTCTGTGGCGTCTTTAGAGAAATGGGAGATTCTGGAATCTTCTTGACATTTAGTGTATTCTTATTCTTCTGTGGTGTCTAGCTAGACACAAGTATCACAGCTGAAAGCATAGTATTTGCTTTACCAGACAAAAAGGTTTGTCTCTAGTAGTGACCAGCCAAATGCTCCTTGGAGGCATATAAACAGGGTATGATATAGGAGGCCCATTCCTTCTTTCCTCCCAATATCTGGTGCTCAGAAATATATTGTATGTGATTATGGGACCAAAGTAGTTTTGAGTACAGCAGCCATACTTGCTTATGTCTGTCTTGTTCATATATAAATAGGGATGGGAGGAGATTTAATCTTTACAACAAAGCTGAACTCTTCCTTCTTCTCTTCTTACTTTCTTGTGTTTTGCCATTTCAGCCACTTTCCTTCACATTTCTGTTTACTACCAATATTGTAGCTGTGTGAGGAAGAAATTGCTGGGGTGCCAGTTTATACGCTACTCTTTGTATAAAATTAGACTTCCCCTGCAGCCCCTTGCTTTAATGAAGAGCACAGATATTCCACAAAACATAGTTGCTCCTCTCATCTCTAGTTTGTTCCATGAAAAGTCCATTTAGCTCTTTAGAAAACAGGTCAAGTCATTGATGAACCTGAACTTATCTAACCCTAATAGCCATTGATTGGGTTTGTACAACGTGACAGCCCATTATGGGTAATTAGTCTTATGAACTGAGATTGCTTCCTGCAAGGTAGCTTATTTTGGGGTAGAAAGCCACAGATATTTTATGACTACTTCTAGGGGTTATTCAGCTCACAGTGGGCTTTCATGTCATCTGAACCTAGGCCCCTCTTGTCTTATTCAGAAAAATCATCCCTGAGAATTGTTTATATGAGGTACATGTCCAGCTTTGTGTAATACAGTAACTTGTAACAACTAAAACAAATGTCCAGTTTAAAAGCCTTACTTGGACAATAAGTCTGCCATTGCACAGTGGGAGAGCAATTACAGAGGCTTCATGTATTAGCTCATACACATAAAAACGGAAGACAAAATGCAGGCAGTGTACATACACCTCCATATTTTTGTGGGTGAAGAACTGCAAGAGTCAAGTGGCTGCTTACGCCATATCCACATGGTACATTACATTCTGTGGGGTCTCGTGTGCAGACTACTCCTATGTAGGTCAGTATTTAAATGACCCCTAATACTTTAGCTGTATCTACATTATGCATGCCAGATACAGCATGTGTGTATTCATCTGTATGTTCTCCTTCAGGACACCACTAATCCTTGATTTCTTTTTTTGCTTGCAAAGAGCGGGTTGACAGGATCCCATGGATTGCTCCAGAATGTGTTAAAAATGTGAGCAACCTCAGTACGGCGGCTGACAAGTGGAGCTTTGGTACTACTCTCCTGGAGATATGCTTTGATGCAGATGTGCCACTAAAAGAACGTACTCCTTCTGAGGTATCTTCTGTATCCAGTTCTTTTTTGTCCATGTCTCCATGCAACACCCCCACCCCCAACCTTACTGAAGGGTATGATGCAGGTTGCCTGCAGAAACTGGCTTACCTGGTTCATAGCTTGCTCAGGTTTGGAGATAAAACTGCTGGGCAGGAAATAAGAAATAGATGTGCAGACAATAACAGTAACTCTTCTACAGGGTTACTGTTAGTTATTATTATTACCATTATTAGACCTGCTTTGTTGTTGTTACTTTTACTATCATTACTGTTCTTGTTATTAAATTTATACCTTTCCTTTTTTCCTCTTGCAAGGATCCACTCCTCCTCTCCATTTTATTCTGGGTGAGATAGATTAGGCCAAGAGTCTCTGACTGGGTGACTTGCAGCCAGTCAACCAACTGGGGACTAGAAACTGGGTTTCCCAAGTCGTAGTCATAATAAGTACACCACGCTGGCTTGGCTAGGTTATAGATGCCTAATAAAAGGATCTAGAGCACATAAGGAGACAGAATAAATATGTTGAACTAGCCTTTTAAGTTTTTATCTGGGGGCAGTAGCAGGAAATTCCATTCTACAAAGAAGCCAATGTGGTATGGTATATTGGACTGGGGATCTAGGTGATCTGGATTCTAGTTCCCATTCAGCCATGAAGCTCACTGGGTGATGTTGGGATACTCAGAGACTCTCAAGCTATGCTACCTCACAGGGTAGTTGTGATAAGGATAAAGTGGAGCTATATAAGCTGCCTTGGGGTGTCCTCACCAGAGGAAAAAAGGCAGGATATAAATGCAATGTGCTGCTGCTGGTGATTATTAAAAGAAATAATGGCTATGAGCTAGGATGTTCTCCAGCTATGAGCTCACTAAGTGGCCTTAGCCAAAGCTTCTGTTCCCTTAGCTTCATTTGCAACTGGGGGGGGGGTGATAATGCTTTTTACCTGTTACCAATGTAATCCTACACATCTAGTCAAAAGTAAGTCTTAGTGAATTCAATGGTGCTTACTTTGTAGTAAGTAGGTCTGGAGGAAATCTTAAACTGTCCTTTTATTACTGGATAGATATATAACATTACATAATTTTCATTCTGTTTTTGAGTTGCAATTTAATTGATTATGAGTGATTTCTTATGGATCTTTCTTGTGATATACTTTGGGTCCAGAATTGGTAAAGTATGAGAGAGAGAGCTAGGATTCTCGGGATAGCTAGCAGTGATTTTCATGGTCATAAGAAGCCCATCCATGAGATTCAGTTTCAGTCTTGTATAAACAAGACTGTTTAAAGCTTGTTGATGTAGTGGTGAAGGCAGCAATATTTTAGCAAGAGAAATTCTGAGGAATCTCCATTTGTAGCCTAACTTCAGTTTTCAGCCTTTATAAATCTGTTGTTTTTTCTACAGAAAGAGCGTTTCTATGAGAAAAAACATCACCTTCCGGAGCCATCTTTCAAAGAATTAGCTGTGTTAATCAGCCAGTGCCTGAACTATGCTCCTGCGGAGCGGCCATCATTCCGGACCATCTTGCGAGACCTTACGCAACTACAGCCACATAGTAAGGATTCCAGAGGACAGCAGGTTGCTCATAGCAGCACTTCTGTGTAAAACTATGGATTTGGGCTCCCTTCCTCACCCTCTCATAATGCTTTTGAGGGGTTGTCTATGAACCAGACCTAGTTGAGGTATGGTAAGGACAACAGTTTATGGCCCCATCACAGTTAATGAATTTGGAGTACTCTGAAGACAGGGACTGTCAAAATCAAAGTGTAAAGCATATATTAAAGCAAAGAATAAAATATTAATATGGGGTAATAAGATATAAAACTCAAGAGAAGAAAAGTCAGACCAAGGTAATATAGAACAGTAGAGGAATTCTACAATGTACAGTTGGCTCAAACAGAAAACAAAGAACTTGTGAAGTAAACAAAATCTAGTTCTGCTCCAATTCAGTAACAGTCATTTATGACTTACATGGCATGGCTGCCTTTTGTTACCTTTTCTTTCCTCTAGTTTAACTGCAGGTCACCTGAGATTATGCATTATATTTTGCCATTTGAATCTGTTTCCTTCTAAATAGTGCATGTCTCACTTGATCTCCTCCCTTGTGTTTTCCAGACCCCCTTGACATCACATCTGTGAATCCCGAATTTCCAGTATCTGACCCAACTGTCTTTCAGAAGCGGTATCTGAAAAAGATCCGAGATCTGGGTGAGGTAAATGATCTTTTTTAGAAGTGAAACATCATTTCTTCTTCTTGTGAAATTCATCCCAAGTAAGAAATGAAATGGACAAAGAAAAAACAAAGGAACCTTCTTTCTGACGTGCTAGGTTTATATGTGAATTATTATGTTTTATTTATGTAACTTCTGTTCTGCCCAATAGCTGGAGCTTTCCAGGCAGTTTGCAATGACTATTTTGTATATAGCAAGTCATTTATATGTTGGGACCATTCAAACATTCAGTTCCACACCTGAAACCCAGCAGTTACAAATGAGAGTCTGAAATTTCATCTCTCATAAGTGGTGATGAGGTACACAAACCCATATATTTAGTGAGCAAATGAAGAGCAGATTGTGCCCATCACTAACTGCGTCCCTGCCAGTTTGGTCAGGTGTTCATTTCTAGTCAGATGGGGGCTGAACATTTATACTTGTGCCTGTGTGAGGCTCCTGTACTGGAGCCTGCATGCCTTTGCACTGATGCTGAATGTACAGCCATCAGGCAGGGTGTATTGGCGTGGTGGGGAGGAGGGCATAATCTAGCTGAAGCAATCCTGCTGCGTCTGACTCGTTAATTTAATGTTGTGTGCGTAACAGGTGTATTTTATGCACGTTGATATTTTGTTCACACATCATGCCAAACCCCGGGGCTTATGCTAATCATAGTTTGGAACCAAATCATGGTTTAAACTTCCAAGCCATAGAGCTGTTGGGATGCTGTCATTTTCTGTCTAGCTCAGTATTAATATCTACAGAGGTAGAGCAGTAGCTGTAACTATAGTTCATCAGACACCCCATTAACCATGGTTTGCAAACTTAGTTAAAACCCTGGGTTTGATTCTTTCTTGCTGGCTGATTGAAAACCATGGTTTTGTCAATGCAAGCATCAGACCAAACCACCACTAAGCTTTCATAACCACAATTTGACATGCCTAGGATGTCATTTGCCTTTTCTATTTTAAGTTGTCAACTACTTTGCTGAGAATTAGTGCAGGTCACGCAAGAGGTCCATGCCTGTTTTCCTCAATACTTGGTATAGTGGACTCATCTGGTTTACTAGTCCATTGATAGAAACGGCTAAGGGTTTGTGTGGCAGCGGTTTCCCTTCTTTTCCTTGTCCCTACATTTTCCTAAATCTGCTGTGGAGAGGCTTCTAACTCTCTTGAGCATATTTCAGAGGGCAAACTGGAGCTGCAGTGGGCAGAAGAAGTTTGATCTGCCCAGTAGAGTCAGTTCCATTGATGGAAGAACACAGTCAGATAGAACCCAGTGAGATAGGTAAAGTGGGCTATGAAGTGGGGTCACAAATAGAAAGAAGAACGTATAACAATAAAAAGCATGACTAGATCATGTTCTCACTGTATTTTATAGGAAATTTTTTCAAAAGAATTGTCCATAAAAGAAACAATACCAATTAAACAGAGACAACACCCAATCTAGTAAGATATAAGATATATTTAAATACTATAATATCTAACTATAATAATAAAATGCTTAATACCAAGAAAAGAGTCTCCTTACTGTTTTAGGAGCGTAGCTGTGCAATTGTTTGCACAGCTGCCCTTTTTTTTTTTGTTCTCACTATGAAATGGAATCTAGGAAGTAGAGTTGAGTTCAGACTTGGTTTTGAAATCCAGTATTTGGCTTATAGCTGTCAAGAGCAGGTTCCTCCCTCCCTCTTTTCCTCTTCAGCAGACTCAGAAAACTTACTTTTATTAAACTGAACAGTTACAGAACAGTATAAATCCATGTAACATTCTTTTTGAGATGTGGAAGTAGCATCTGCCCATGTAAAGGGTTAGATCTAAACTGAAACTTCCCCTCCTTTCTTCCCTTCCCCTCCTTTCTTCCTTTCTCAGAGAAGCTCCTGCTGCTAGAGAGCTAGACAGTAGGGATGCCAGGCACTTCTTAATTGGTGTGCTCATTTCATCTGTTGATTCACAACAAGGTCAAGAAGCACACACACACCTCTGCTCCATGTCTGAAATGTCTCCTTCCTTTTCCAAAGCAGGCTGGTTCTCATGCTTTGTCTGAGAATCTTCACTGGATAACCTTAAGACTGAAAAGTCATGTGCCCAATTCTGCCTCTGTGCCTCCTCCTTAGGATCAGCTGGATCTATCTGAGCAGACTGAACTGTGCAAGTGCTGGGCTCCCTCTCTGCAGAGTTGATTCAAATATTGGGCAAATAATATTTTCCTTGCCCTCAGATTAGTTCATGCACAAGTTTGTTGTATTATGAAGCCTAAAAAAGTCCTTGAGATCAGTTTTCTATCTGAGAAAATTCTGTATACCCAGTCAGTACAGTGAATGTTCCCACAGAAAGAGGGGTTAGAGGTTTTTGTCTCCTGAACTATCAGATGGCTACCCTGTTTCTTTCTTTTTCTTTCTTCTAGGGTCACTTTGGCAAAGTGAGTCTGTACTGCTATGATCCTACCAATGATGGCACTGGTGAGATGGTGGCAGTGAAGTCACTGAAATCAGGCTGTAGCCAACAGCTGCTGACCAGCTGGAAAAAGGAAATTGAGATCCTGAAGACACTTTACCACGAGAACATTGTCAAATACAAGGGTTGCTGTAGTGAGCAAGGTACAGCATCTGCTGTGTTGGCATTGCAAGGACCAGACATAAGCTGGCTTAGCACAGGAGCACCTTTGGGGGAAAGTCCTACAGGAAATTACAGAAGAGTCATGTTCTCTTCTGTGATATTTCTAGGAATTGTGGGAAATGACTTGAAAAATAAGTTAGAATGAGAGTTCCTTTGTCTGTCTTTCAAAGGTGGTGGCGCTAAAAGAACCTTCCCCTGTGGATTGATTAGAATGAGGAATGTTTGGATTTGTAAGATGCTGATGACATCCCACCATTTCTGTGCCTTACCTCATCCCTGCTCCCCACTTTATCTCAATCTGCAGCCCTACATCTGCTGTGTGCATGATCCAGTTGACAGACTGGACTTGGATTCTAAGAGTCCTTGATTTCTGTCACAGCTCACCATAAGCATCAGCACTAGTTGCTATCTGTCATTCTCCATTCCATATAGCAGGGATGAGCAAACTTTTCAGGGTTAAGGGCTAGATTTGCTTGTGGGAAAATGATTGGGGGCACATAACAGTCATCTGGAGGGGCAGCAAAAATGTCTAGCAGCAAGCAGAAAAACTAGAGTTTTGAAAGACTGCAATCTTGAAAGGCAGCTACAAAATGTATTACTTGAACAAGGCAAAAGTGGTCAGGAAACCCTTTGTTTTGTTTTTCCTTTTTCTACAACCATTAATTTGTCCATTGTTCATCCATTCATTCTCTTTCTTGCACCCTTCTCCCCACTACATTCATCTTCTCAAATGCTGTCCCCAACATGCCAGCAAACCCGCTTGCTCCGTTGTGGCCTCTCTCCCCCCAGCCAGCCCACCTATCTACTCCACTGATCACCCAAACACTCACAGAATGCCTGCATGTGTGCCTACCCCCAGTGCCCTCCATTCTTGCTAGTTTTTCAGATTAGCCTCTTTCTGAACAGCAGAAGTACAGAGTGGATGCAGCAACCTGAGTACACAAAACACTGGAAAGAGCACCAAGTTCCAGCACCAAGCTGAAATCCTCTGGTCAGCCCTCTGAACCTGGGTACAAGAAGATCTTCTAGAAAACACTAGTAGCATCTGCACTCAGCCACTGAGTCTGCTAGCCTCTTATAGACTCCATGGAGCCTAGCAAATTTATAAGCAGCAGGAGGGACATATGCTTCAAAGCAGGCACTGGGAGAGACATTTAGGGTGGGGGGTTGTGGCTAGGAAACCCAACAGACTGCCAGAGGGATCCCCAAGAGCTGTGGATTGCTCACATGCCTCATAACACCTAACCCTTACCCTATTGTAAGATGTCCTGAGACATTGTAGGGGATGGTATAGAAAAACTTTTAATAAATAATGCAGGAAAGGAATAAGATAGAACTAAGAACACTTCCTTTTGAATAATGGAAATAATTGTTTGAATTTTTCAATTGCAGGGGAAAAGATGGTGCAGCTTATTATGGAATATGTGCCTTTGGGGAGTCTGAGGGATTATCTTCCCAAGCACAGTGTCAGCCTGGCCCATATTCTCCTCTTTGCTCAGCAGATCTGTGAGGTAAACCCCTCAGCTGTGGATGCCAAATTCATGTAGCTGCTGATCCAGCAGATAATATAGATTTGTTATGATTATTGTTCCTGTTGTGGAAGAGGAATGGACTGTAATATTTAATGCAGACTGGAGGTTTCTTTACATGACTTTTTTTGGCTCAGGATGCAGATTTTCCCCCTCTAATTTCCCATTTTACACTGAGATTCAGGGCATTTGACCCTGATTTTTGGTATATTGGAAGTTTTGGTCTCCTTGTTGCAGAGTTGGGAGAATAACCTCATGTTTATTCTTTGTAGGGAATGGCTTATCTTCACTCCCTGCGCTACATCCACAGGGATCTGGCAGCCAGAAATGTACTCCTGGAGAATGAGAACGTTGTGAAAATTGGAGACTTTGGTCTTGCCAAAGCCATCCCTGAAGGTCATGAGTATTACCGTGTCTGTGAAGATGGAGACAGCCCTGTCTTTTGGTAAGAGATCACATTGCATGGCTTTCAGACTCATGAGGGACATGACTGCATCGTAACTCATCCATATAGTCACTGTGCTGAAAGAAAAAAACAAAGAGGCAAAGCCTCAAAAGAGATTCTGCCTTTGGGAAATTTCAATCCTGAGATAAGGCAGGATATTTCTGTGAATAAACCTCCCTACCTGAAAATGTAAGTTCTGTAACAGAACAAGGTGCCCTTCGGAGGTTATCCTTTCTTTTGATTGAATGTTGCCATATATTTCAATTTTGCAGAAATGATTGTTCTCCTTCCTGCAGTAGCTGGAGTAAATGGTGACAGTTGCATGTTTCTACAGCCTATGTAAATGAACACCAGAAAAGAGGCTTGAATACAAAAGGCTCTCATTAAAAAGAATATCAGAAGGACATGTTTTGTTGTAAGCTTTTAAAGGCATCTGTCTAGCTACGATTGGAAATTAAAAAGTTGAGTAGATGGACCATGTATTTAAAGGCCATCTAAGAAGGCCTTGGCAGTTATAGGCAGCCTATAAATACATGTATAAATAAATAAATTTAGAAGGCAGTTCTTACGTTTTTAATTGCTATTCCATATTAGTAATTCCACTGGAGATAAACAGGAGATTGCCATTTTTACACTTGACTTGTGAGCTTTGCAGAAGCGTCTAACTTGTCCCTACTTGAAAAAGGGTTCTGGATAAGAAAGAACTTTATGTGATCGGGCAAAATAGATTTTATGCTTTTAATTTGCTATTTTCACCAGCTCTGTTTTTTGGTATGTTGTAGGTATGCTGTGGAGTGCCTGAAGGAGTGTAAATTCTATTATGCCTCTGATGTTTGGTCCTTTGGGGTTACTTTATATGAACTCCTAACACGCTGTGATTCAAGTCAGAGCCCTCCAGTGGTGAGTCTAATCTACAATCAAGGAAGGTGGTGGCATTTGCTTAGCACTGCTGGGAATTAAGGGATCTTGGTATGTCTTGCATTTGTTGTTCAGTTGTTGAAGGTTAGCATGGAGCTTGTGCAGTCACATTTCTGTGTAGTGGAGTGTTTCAAGGGCTAAAATATACCTGCCTTGTCCTAGTACAGTGATGGCGAACCTTTTAGAGACCAAGTGCCCAAACTGCAACCCAAAATCCACTTACTTATCTCAAAGTGCCAACACTGCAGATTCAAATATGCCGGGGGACAGCACAACACAGCACAACATTCAAAGAATCTCAGTCTCTTAATTAGAACATCTCTTTGCTAAATCTTAGATATTAAATTTCAATTTTTCATAAGAAAATTCAAAGCTAAAATCTTGTTAATAAAAAACGAATGTATTAAAATTCACAGCCAGTCCAAACAAGTATATCTATCTATCTATCTATCTATCTATCTATCTATCTATCTATCTATCCATCCTTGGCAGCGCACTGACCGGCCATGTGAAAGCTTGGACAAGTCGCAGCTAATGAGTCGTGGCTTGTGATGTCATCATCTGGCGCCACCACTCCTTTCTGAGCATGTGCACGCCCCCTATGTGCGTTGTTATTTGATGCTCGGCTACTGGGGAGATGTTGGGATGACTTGGCTCATGTGCATACAGAGAGGACTCTGTGTGCCTGCTGCAGCACGCGTGCCATAGGTTCGTCACCACTGTCCTAGTATGCCTTCTGAGCTCCTAATGGAATGCTTTGAAGTTCCAGTTAAAATTATGAGAAGCTACAGGGTAGTCCTGCATGTGGAGTGTTTCTCCTGGAAAGCGTGAAACCTACAGCGCGGAAGGCAGTTTGGTACATTGTGGAGTCTTCTCATGAACAGCGAAACTTTGCATCTCTCCACTTCCTTGTCAGAGCACATAGTAATCTATTTCTCTGTTGCCTTAGAAATTCATTGAGATGATTGGAGCAACTCAGGGCCAAATGACAGTACTGAGGCTTATAGAGCTTTTGGATAGAGGGAAAAGGCTGCCCAGCCCAAAGGACTGTCCATATGAGGTAAGCCTGGTTCCTCTTCATGGTCTCTGTGCATCACACACATGGGGCTGCATGCCTGTATGGAGCCTGCTGCCAGCGCTCTTATGCGGAATTGAGCAGCTTCTGGAAACAGTAGGCTTCATAGGTATTGCTAACCATTTACTCGTAGAATCTAGAGGGAGTTGGGATGTGGTTAGGAGATGTAGATCGCTACAGAAAACAGTTCCTGAGCTTCCCCCATCACCTCAACATGGACATGTTCTCAAGTTTTCCATGACTCATGAAGCTTCTTCCTCAACTGCTTGCCTGCTTTCTGAGAACAACATTTAAAGGGGGAAGAAAACCCAGCCACAAACATATAGTTGAAATATGCACAAAGCTAAATTATGCACATTCGTTTCACTTTTCAGCATCTGATTATATAGAACTAAATATCTGGCAAGTTTCCAGCTTTGAGTGATTTTATTTTTTCTTGCTTCTAACTCTAGTTAGAATTAGCTTGTTAACTTGCTCACTAGCATTAACTTATGCCATTAGTGGCATTTCTAAAGTATAGATGAAGTCAGCTTGTCCTAGCAGTTGAAAAGATTGGAACAGGATAGATAGACGGATGCAATATCCAGTACTAATGTCTCTGTGGGATGAGACTGTTCTCTAACCTCTTTGCTAGAGCTCAGTAGACCATGCATGTTGCCACCACCAAGTAGAAATCCTCAAGGCGGTGAGAAAACTGTCTCTTCCCAGCTCCGCAAGGGCAAAGCAAAAGAGTCCCACCACTCTCTTGGAGAAGTGTATGGCCCAGTGCTTTCAGCATTTTTTCTGTGACAATATTTAGACAGGAGGAGGAGCAGGTGCTAGTGCTAGAAATAGATCTGAGAGGACAAGTTGGTCTAATGCCTTGGGATCTGATTCGTATGAATACTGCTTTTGCAGGCAGGAACCTACTTCCTCTGAAGTAGTGGATTCTTGCTCACAAATGCCCTTGTCAGAATCTCTTTAGGTTCAGCCCATTTGTATTCAGTGGGACTTGCCTTGTTCACATTCCCACACTAGCTGCAGTAGGGCTCATGTCATTGTAGGCTTCCAACGCATAAAAAGTTCACAAAAGTTTGAACATGGTACAGTTTGTCTTAAATTCTAGACATTAGTAGAAATTGGCTGTAATAATGGTTGACTTAATGGCTAGTTGGAAATAAAGACCTATGTAATAATACCTCACTGCCTCTATCCAATCTTCCCTTTGCTGCCTGGCAGAGCTTTTCAATATTGTCTGGGGCTCAGTGCATTCTGGCTCAGGGACACCTTGGAAGAATTTCAGGCCCACTGAAATTTACTTGCTGGACACTTCCCAGAAAAAATCTCTTGCATCTGCCAGGACTTGGACTCAGAGTTATAAGCAGTTGAATCTGTGGAGATATCCATTGCACAGCCTGGTCTGGTTTTACTGGATGAGTTTCGGTTGGTACAGCTCAAGGATGTGGACAAAGTGCTTGGACAGGTTCATGTACCTCTGTACTAGTTCCTTGTCCCTCCTGGCTTATAAAAGCCAGCAGGGAAGGGAGAATTGGCTGGGCCAGGGAGGTCATGCCTCCCTTAGAGAGGGAGTGGTTCCATGCTGCCTTAAAGAGGCAATGGTGAGACCACTTCCGAAGTGGTCCTTGACCTTGACCAATAATTTCAACCCTTCCTTGACTTTGAAGATCCAAACAACTTCAGATCAATAGCAAATATTCCTTTCTTGGGCAAGGTTCTAGAGAGGGTGATTGCCAATAAGTTCCAGGCATTCTTGGTTGAGACTGATTATCTGGATCCATTTCAATTGGGGTTCAGGCCTGCTTTTGGCATGGAAACAGCCTTGGTCACCTTGTATGACAGGCCAAGCCAGGAGAGAGGCAGTGCGAGTGTGACCTTGCTAATAATGCTGGACCTCTCAGTAGCTTTCAATACTGTTGACCATTCATGGTATCCTTCTGGGGTGATTGTCTGAGTTGGGAATCAAGGGGCACTGCATTGCAGTTGTTCTGCTCCTACTTGGAGGGCCATCTCCAGAAGGTGGTGCTTGGGGAATTTTGTTCAGCCCTGTGGACTTTCCAGCACAGAGTTGCTCGGGGGTCTGTTCTGTCTCCTATGTTATTCAACATCTACCTGAAAGTGATGAGCGGGGTCATCTGGAGTTTTGGAGTGTGTTGCCATCAGTATGCTGATGACATGCAGCTCTATTTCTCCTTTTCAGCAAGTGAGGCTATGGATGTGCTAAACTGGTGCTTGTTTGTGGCAATGGAATGGATGAGGGCTAACAAATTGAAACTTAATCCAGACAAGACTGAGATGCAGTTGATGGGTGGTTCTTTTGACCAGATGGGGGGTGTTCAGTCTAGATGGGTTTGCATTTCCCTTGAAAGGAGCAGTTTCATTGCTTGATCCGTCTTTGTCACTTGAGGCTCAGGTGGCTGTAGTATCTTGGAGTGCCTTCCACCAGCTGCATCTGGTGGCCCAGCTGTGCCCTTACCTGGTTTCAGCAATCTCTGCTCTGGTAATCTCTAAATTAGATTATTGCAATCTAATTGGGTTGCCCTTGAAGAGTTTAGAAGCTGCCAGTTGGTGCAGAATGTGCCAGCCAGATTAATAACTGGGACCCATAGATCTGAGCACGTAAGACCAGTTCTAGCCTACTTGCATTGGGCTGCCTGTATACCTCTGGCCCTAATTCAAGGTGCTGGTTTTAATCTGCATACCCCTACATGGCTTAGGACCACAATACCTGTTGGGGTGCTTCTCCCAACTACTTGGACACTACTCACAACTTGGACACTACTCACAACTTATGCTGCCTTACTCTTGAGTGCAGTCTAAGGGAAATGCAGAGGGTAGCAACTTTCTCCATGGGGGCCCTTTATGGAATAATCTCTCCACCATGAGCCACCTCATGCCATATCTGTCATCTTTTCAGCACCAGGTTAAGTGCTTTTTCAATGGCTTTTAGGGAAGATCATCAGGTGATTGCAGAGTCACTCTTCTTCTCATTCTTGCCTGTTTTATAATCTCTTTTAGCTGTTTTAAACTTTAATGTTTTCTGATTTTTATATTTTTATTGTGTTTTATCATCTGTTTTTATGGATTGTATAAACCGCCCAGAGATCTTCAGCTGCGGGGTAGTATAGAAATGAAATTAATAATATATATGAAGTTTTGCTTAGCTTTCTGTAAATGTGGCATGTGACTCCAGAGATTGTAGTTAGGTGCAAGAATGTTGTCTTGAGGCAGCACACAAGCCCAGAGTTGGAGGTATAAGAGAAGTACACCAGCTTTGGTGCTGCCATTTTAGCCCCTTAGAGCAGAAGCCACAGAACCGTTCACCTGTGACCCATCAGCTGTTCTTTTATTTATTTTCTATTAAATGGCTAACTCTTCCATCTTCCAGGTAGCTTGGAATGGCTCATATATTCTTCCCTTTCAGACAACTGATGGAGCCAGTACTGTTTAACTTTAGCTGCTGAACTGTGTCATGTGCCTTCGTTCCATTCTCTAAGCTAGCTTTCTCTTTTATTCTGTGTCCCTCTTCTATTCTAAATCTGTGTCTCTTTCCACAGATTTACCGCTTGATGAAAAACTGTTGGGAATCAGAAGCTTCATTCCGGCCAGCCTTCACAAACCTTGTCCCCATCCTCAGAACCTTCCATGAAAAGTACAGGGCCCAGGCCCCCTCAGTGTTCAACCTGTGCTGAGCAGGATGCAAAGACTTTCAGCCAAAGACCATACTCTTACCTGCACTCTGTGTCTTGATACTGTCTGTGTGTGCCTGGAATGCCACAGTGCCATGGAAGCTGCTTCAAAATATCATAATGCGTTGGAACTCTTACTGTTTTGTTGTTCAGAGCCCCAACGCAGAGTTTTCTGCCTTATCCCTTTTTTTCTGTGTACCAAATGTGACGGTGTTTAAGGGAAAACCCACATCTTTTTTCATCATAAGCAGAGGTTGCTTATGAAACAGTGTATAATGCTGCACCAAACTCTGGCCTGAGGAATCTGGAAAGCCTTGAGACTTAGTCTGAATACAGGATATCACAGGTGCAGGGAAGTGAGTAAATGAAATGACTTCTTCGTTGTCTTTTTAATGGACTGCTGAGCCTGTTGGTCTGCTGCAGACAGATAATGCAGCTTGGATTTAAAAGAGACTGGGAAGGAAGCCAAGATCTTCAAGCGCAATAATCGCTATAGGTAATGTTTCTCTTGGACTAGGTCTTTCTTGCTACAAGGAAATGTGCTATTTCTGGGACTATTTTCAAAGCAAATGCTTTGGACTCCCAAAAATCCCTGAACTGGCCTTTGTTCCCATTCACCTGGTATCTGTGTATTTCAGAATTGCTGGGGCTCTTACATCTCTTCGATTCCACCATCTTCCACATAGAGTATAGACATCTTTTCACTTCCTTTCTGGAGGAGGCCCTCTTCTCAACCCTCTAGAAATCCAGATGTGGAGCCAGATGCACACTCAGCTGACTAGAGAAGTGAATGTTTGCTCATATTTTGTATCCCCATATAGAAGTCTTGGGTTTGCTCCCAAAGAGATGTCCCTGAAGTCTCCAAAGGGGATAAAGAAAAGGTACTATTTTTTCAGAAATGCATTGCACTCATGAGAATTCGCCTGCTGTGTAAGCTTTGTCAGAGCCCACTTTGCTTTCTAGATAATATAAGCAGACATTTCTGTATTGTTGTCCCAAGAACCATTCTTCAAACATTTGGTTGTTTTGAACCAGAAATCTTCCCACCCCTTGCTTCTATCAATCAGAAGCTTTAAATTTGAAGTTGAGGGAGGCAAAAAGAGGGTAGGCCTCAAATCATATCACAGTTTTATGGGAAATGCCCTTTGACCACTAACTTGGTTGCTACTGCCTAGAAACTGGGCATCATGTAGCTAAGTAACAGCGGTTCCTGCTGGAATCCCACATCCTGAGAGAGAGAGAGAAAGAGAGGGAGGGAGGAAAAAACCCAGTTGCCTCATACATCTCAGGGCTGTGATGTCACTTAGCTAATTTAGTTTAAAAAAATACTACTTGCTGTTGAAGCCACAGCTATTTGCATTCCAAAACTTTAGTCATTCTCCATTCTTACCAAACCTAGTTTGGGCAGAGTCAGCTGTTTTCATAGGCACATTTCAGATCCTGTTGGAGGTGTTGCAGGCTCCAAATTATGTTCAGGATCTTTAGGGTGCTGCAAAGCTGGGCTAATGGTTGCCCTCAATACAAATTCCTCCCTTGCCAACTTGCACTCTTGGGATCCTGTCCCTTCTTCATAACTGAGGACTGGGGACTGTTTTGGCAAACCTGAAACTACACATTATTAACGAGCCTGTTCCAGGCTGTTTCTGCTTTGAGAAAGAGGGGAGGGAGGACGGCTGTTGACCTGCCTTTTAGGTGGCTCTTAATATCATTAAACAGTACTGTAAGAATTAAGTATTTCAAGAGTGTTTTAAATTTCCCTTCTCACAGAATGAAAGGAATGATCAACAATCATTTATACTTTGGCTATGCTGTGCAAGCCACTTAGAGCTATGAAGGGACCAGATGAGAGTGCTTATCCCTGCATGTTTTCCTGCCATTCCAATTCACCAAAGGCTCAAAGCAATCCCTATTCTGTTTCTAGGTGGTTACTTAGTTGAGGCTTACCACTTTGAAGGAAGGCAATGAAGAGAAAGGGAATGCAGGAAGAGTCAGGAGCTTGGGGTTATTGTTCATTTTTAGCCAAGCTGAGATTTTGAACTCTTGACTGATATGTATATTGATGTACAGCTCTGAGTAACAAATGGCCAGAATTGGAGGAGGCAGGGGTATCCTAAAACACTCAGTGCTGAACATTTATTTCCTGGGGATCTGATTAGGGAAATGCCTACCAAAGAAAATGAGAACAAATACAGAAGTGTACAGTTCTTGGAAATGACAGCTGGCAACTCTAAATCCATTGCAGACTGACCAGACAAAACTTTGGTAGATTCCCTAGAAGGCTCTCATCACACAACAGGGTGTGGCAGCATGAAGCATTGGATGAGCATAGCTTTCAGACTTCGTTTCAGGGGCCAAACTCATGTTGACATGGTTCAAATACTGTTTCTGGGATAGGGGTTGAAGTGTGGGTAGAGCCAGTCAAATGTATCAAGACCTTCCACAAGGAAGATAAGAGCCACTGCATTACTTTCCTTACCCACTCGTAGCATACATAGATCAGGACTGAGAAAATTATGAAACTAGTTCTGTGAGCCTTTGGGAGTTGTGGAATGCAATCCTATGCATGTTTATTTGGAAGTATGTCTTATTAGGTATTCGTGTATATAGGCTGTAAGATTTTTGGGGGCTGATTTTTCCTCAATCCCTCCCATTGTGCTTGGTAAATAGCTTTTGATGTTGAAAAGATTTTTAAAAACAGTTTGCCATATATTGTGGCATTAGCTGTTCGTTTTTTAAACCCCATTCCATTGTATAAGCATAAACCCCTTCCATGACCCCAAACAGTTCCTTAGGTAATAAACTTGATAGGTTTTTAAAAATGATTTTCACTTGGTCTGTGATACTAGAAGGACTCAAATTTGTTTACAAGTCTAAAAGACAAAGAGCTATTCATAAAACTCATGGTGTTAATCACTTATTTGAGAATTGTACGCGCACCTATTGGTAAACTTGTGTTATTGGCCTTAAAACTAGTCTTATCTTCCCCTCCCCTGTACATTTTATTTTTTGGGTATAGAATTGCACCATGAGCCTGCACTACCAGCCCTATCTCTGGAGTGTGGAACAATGCCACCTGTCTTAGCTGAAAAGTATCTTACAAAGCTAAACTGCAAAACTTCACAGCATTGTGCCTTTTGCATCTGGAACTGCACTGAAGATTTGAGGCAAGGACTTCTTCCACGGAAGGATGGGCAAGCTTCAGCTCAGCCTTTCTTGCTCTGTCTGTGGCCAAAGCTGCTGTACTTCTGGATGTGTGTATGGCGGTGGGGGGTGGGGTGGGGAGTGAGTGTTTATGGGACGGGGAGAGTGTGTGAGTGCAGAGAGAATGTGCACAGAAATCTTGCTGTAATGTGAATGTGCTCTGTGTTAGTAGAGCTAAATGTAATATCCTGGGAAGATCATTTACATTTTCTTCAAATAAACGTCATATAACTTTTAGTAGCTTTGGAGTCTTGATTACTATGGACTGCTTCTTAAAAAACCTACTGGTCTTACAAAATTGTTTAGAATAGACAGCCAAACTATGGAGGGCTATCCATTTTGTGTATGGTGTCATCAATATACATGTAAATGCAATCTTGTGGATCCTGAGAGATGAGACTCTAGGCTCCAGTCAGTAGGGTTTAAATTCAACATTAGTCCTACTTAAAGGAGATCTGTCGAAATTAATCCTATTGGTCTGGTTCATTTCAGTGTGCCTACTCTAAGAAAAACATGTTCAAAGATAGGCTGGACATGCATATGGTGGGCATGTCGTGAGCAGAACCAGCTGGAACTGGGGGTCAGACTAGATGGCCCGGGAGGCCCCTTCTGACTTGCTCTGTTTCTATGTTTCTATGATTTTACTACTTTAAGGTTCAGTTGTTCATATACCATTAAGTATTAATTTATTATACTTCTATTATGCTCTTTTCCTTCCAGGAATTTACATAATCTTCCTGGCAACAAGCTTGTGAAATAAGTTAGACTGAGAGTCTGTGACTGGTTCAAAGTCACCCAGTGAACTTT